CCCGGAGGGGGGGGGGGCCCCGTTTTTTCGGGGGGGGCACCTTTCACCTTTTGTTTGGGGGTTTTAGGGTGTAGGAATGTTGGAGGGATTAATATTTTGATTCGGCACCCAGGGGCCCACCAAGAGCGCCCAACATGGGGGGGGCAGAAAAATGGGACATATGTGCAAATTTTTTTTTCGGGGGGGGGGGGGGGGGGAGCGTAAGGATTAATCGGAGATTGATCGGAGATCAGCGGCGGACAAAGCGCGGCGATCGACTGCTGCTGCTGCTGTAGCTGGTCATTGCTCCGGCCCTGCCGTTTGCTCTGCTGTTGCTGTGGGAGAAAGCCGTGAAATCGTTGTCGCGATCCAGAATAAGAACAGGACACGATAGCAATTCATCCACGGAAATAGACAGCAACGATATTTGGAGTATCGTCTATCGTTGTTCAGAGACAACAAATCACTTTCTGCTCTGTTACCTCGGCCGCGGTATTATTCCGCGCGAATACCGCTCACCCAGGTTCAAGACTGCTGTGCCCTCCCGTGCAGGGAAAAAGTGAGAAGAAAGAAGAGTACAATACGGATGGTCGTGATGATCCCTGTGGCGGCTGTGGTTTGCCTCGCGGTCGGGGTTCCGTACCTGTCGCTCGGCTACCAACACTACGCGGCCTTCGGCGGTGTGAACGTTGCGGCGCAGTTGGTCCTCTTGTTCCTGTGCATCAACGTGGTGATCTGCCTGTGGGAGCTGTGCCTGTGCTACAAGCACGCCCTGATTCGCTCGACACACGCCAAGCGGGTGAAGGACGGCCAGGTGAAACTTGACAGCTGCTTGCAGCTCGTCGGGGTGGGTTGAAAGCTGGTCACGGGTATAAGGTGTGCACTGCCTACAGCAGCGTATCATGAGTACAAGTACTGCAAAATATTGTTGGCCAAGGATAAGATGCACATCTACGGTACAGCAGCGGTTTACCGTGGTACACAGCAGTCGTTAAACATGTGTACTGCTGTGGTGCTGTATGAAATCCCGTGCAGTTCCACGGGGAGCCTTGTAGGCAGGCAAATCTCAGCATGAACGAACCACCTAAAGTTCACCATAAGACTACGATAGTGCACAGAAGCGGTCTACCATGGAACCACCCGACGGAAAAACAAGGCACGTGGTCCCCATTCCTCCTCTCATGGTTTCCCTCCCTATCCCGCCAATGTACCTAATGTCGTTTCCCCTTCTCTGCATCTTGCGTGGAATAAATGCTACTAACGCGTGAAATCTGTTGGATTCAACTAACGCCCCGAGGTGGATGCACTGCTGCAAACATGTGTGGATTTCATTCATCCCTGCTTTTGTCAGACGAAATCAGTCACGATAGTGGTATTCCGCTGGATGCGCTTCAGCGAGATACTCAGCCCGTCCTTCTGGGCCAACATCTGGATAGACTACGCCCGCTTCGACGACGCCTACGTGCAACCCGTCTCTGCCGGCTTCAACATCGACGTCGGCAACGGCCACACCACCCTCTTGCCGAGCCTGTTCCTGCTGGCGTCGATGGTTCGGCCGTTGGCGGATCCGAAGGTGAGAAGAGTGGAAAATCTGCTTGGCACATTACATGCAGTGGTAGCGGTAGTCCCGTATTTCGTACCATGTAATTTGTTGTACCGTGAAAGCCGTCTTGGATGCATGGCTCAAACAAGCCGCGAACGACTTGGTTTCTTTTAGGGCGGGCCCAAAAACCAGAGCCAACTATTATATCCATGCTGCATGCTGCCACACGCATGCTGCTGCTTTCAACCATGCTGGATCGATAGCGTTCTGAGCATGACGAACTCGTATCTCGCATAGTAACGCCCAACTTGCCGGCTGCTTTTCTAACGGAATTAATCTGTGTGTCAACCATGGTGCGGGAAAAGTTCATGGTTGGCATCATGTGGTTGGATCCGAAATGTATTCCTGCGGACGAATGGCGGATAAAAGAATTCTCATTTCCCGTCAGATCAGAGAGTACATTTTCGAATTCAGGGTAAAATTCGGGAGAAATGTAGCCGGGGCAGGGTATTATCCCGAGATATTTGGGACTCCGCCACGTTGGAAAATCAGCACCCGGCGCGATCGCATGGTCCGACACTCTCCTGGCGTGTTTGTGTTCTTCTCGTCGTTCGGTACGCTTACAGACCGGGCCCGCAATTTAAGAAAAAGTCTTTCGGGCCCGCAATTTTAGAAAATATCTTATAAAAGAAACAGAGAAGCTCAATTTTTCAAGAAATATACTCCAGAGTAAGAAAATAGGGCTAAGAAACAGCGCAGCGGTGGATCCTTACCCTCTATCACAACCTGTGCTCGTCACCAGTGGCAATGGAATAAAGAAACTTAGCCTCACCCGATTTTGACGTTTCTTATCTCCTGGTCCGTTCTGCGGCGTTCTTGCCGAGAAGGTGTCTTTGGGAAAATGCCACGGGGTGCGTGAGCTGTTGCGAAACAGAAAAAAATGATCTTGAGCGATATGTTCGTGGTGAACAGCAGTAGTCAAGACCCTGACCCCCCCCCCCCAACAAATGAGTACGCCCCCCCCCCGCTCACCGCGAGGCCTGCGAACAGGTTGAAGGGGGGGACCGGGCCAGGACCGATTTTCTTGCC